TTAAAAAATAATGAAATTATAATTTCATTATTTTTAACACATTTTTGGTTGGCATTAAATTTCGGAAAGTACTTATTTGTTTGAATTATGTGTTATAACACATTTGTACAGAAATGGCTAATAATAGCGTGCGAGTGTATGAGTTAGTAAAAAGTAACGCTTTAGTGCTGACACTCGACCACAAAAGAATGTTGGAAAATGATCACAGATTAGTACAAGTAACAGATAATGGGCCAGTGCTGATAAACGATCGCAGGCCAGTGCTGGCGAAAAATTGCGGGCTTTTTTTTTATTATTATTACAAATTTTCCGTTTAAAATAATTACAACTCTCCTATTTATAAAATACTAGCAGTAAGCAACCCGTAATACGCGTTGTTAGTAAATAAAATTAAAAAAAAAAACCGCGTATAGAAAAGCCTAGAAACTACTTTAAAATAAAAAAGACTAGAAAATGACGTAACTCGACTAATAATAATATTAAATTAGCGTATTCATATCATCAGATACACATAGCGGGGGCAAGAAGAAGACAAAGTAGTCTTATCGCCAAGCCCCAAAAATGCTCATGGCTAGTAGGCCAATGCTGGCACATTGGCCGTTTCGATGCACATTGGCCGTGATCGACAGCCGTTATCGTGCCGTAGTCACAGGCGAAACTGGGCCAAATTTGGGCCGCTAGCGGGAGGCTGTCTGGGATGTTTTAAATGGATCCAAATGTATATTTCTTGAAACATTTATTGCATATATATACAATATATATTTATGTTGTCGATAAAAGTATTTTAAAATGTATATATTTCTATACATCGAGCCCGTACCGTACCGAGGGAAGTCGTTTTTGAAAAATGAGGCAGTTTAGAATATCAAATAAATAATTTTTCAGGATTTTCCTAATATCATTTTATAAGCAATTTTTTTAAAAATAGCTATTTAATAAATATAACACAAGAGAAAAAGGAAACTTTATCAAGTCAATAACTAAGATTTATAGAAAAAAAAAGGAGGATTTTGATGTTCTTTTTAACATCTGATTTTATTTATATTTCGTCATGTTAGAATTATTTTGTTCTTTCTCCAAATTTGAGAAAAATGAGTTAATACCAATTTCTTTTTTATTGTTAATTTTTCTTTTTAGCTGTATTACTTTTGAAATTAATTTTTTTTTTTAATAGTGTTAAACCAGGTGTATCCGATTGTTCTATTTGCAAAATATCAACAGTTTTTAATGTTATTTAGTTATATTTCCAACAACCAATAAAACTGCGTATAATTCACATTAAGTAATCAGTTCGTGTTTATTTCCTCTAATTTGATTTTAAAATGGCGGATGAAAATAGTGTATATCTTAGAGTAATAAACAAAAATATAGGTATTTTCTTATATATTCTAGTGTCAATCGGGTTTTTTTAGTTATTATTCATAATTCTACATATTATTTTAGTAAGAAATGTATCATCATCTAATTAAAAGCAGACGGATTCTGTTGTATATGTGACATACAGTGTATATATATCATATAATATATATGGTTATATATATACACTATTGTATATGTCAAATATACAACAGAATCGGTTATATAATCCGTGGTACACATATACTATATGTGTGTATATTTTTTATTTATGAATGTATATATTGTATGTGTATGTGACATATACAACAGTATATTAAATATCCTCACGTATTCCGTACGTCTTTGTTTATTTAGTATATACAACACGTTTTATATACTAAATAAATAAAGACTCAAATGATCCGTTTCATATATGGAAAAAATTTGTCTTTTCTTAAAATAATATATCTTCAAACATACAATTATTTTGCATTGCATAACCTTTTTTATGTTTAATTTTTATTTTCAGATTACCCACAACAAGCTAATATCACACCCTATGTTTCAACGCATCCTTTAATTTCTGATCAACTGCGATTACCTCCACATGGTGGGAAAACAAGAAAACGTAAAGCAAACTGTTATAACTGGAAACAGTCAAAAAGAAAGCGATTTAGACAATCAGGAAAGGAATATATAAATGTTATTCAACCAAGAAGTAATAAAAATAAAAAAGATAGTAAAAATTGTTGCAAGTTTAAGTGTTTTGAGAAGATTTCAGAAGAGGAGAGAAACATATTATTTAATGGACTGTGGGGAATGTCTCAGATTAAAAAGCAACACTTTTTTAGTAAAAATACTGAACGATTAGATAAAAAAAGATCTCGAACCAATAAAGTAAGCAATTCAAGGAGAAAATATACTTATTTTTACAATTTCTTTGTTGATAATATCAAGCATCGTGTATGGAGTTTTATTTGTCTACATTAGACATCAGCAGCAGACAAATATCATACTATCATGAAAATAAACTTGAAACTGGTGTTCCTGCCCCAACAAAATGGGGGAAACATTGTAAAAAAAAAGTTCTTGAAATGACTAAACAGAGTATAGAAAACCATATCAACTTATTTCCACGAGTTAGGTCACATTATTGTCGAAGCATTTCCTGCAAACAATACTTTGATGTGTCATTAAATTTGAAGAAACTTTATAATTTGTATTTAACATATTGCACTCAATATGAAGTTTCACCAGCAAAAGCATGTATGTACCGCAATGTTTTTAATGCAAAATTTAATATTGAATTTCAAAAGCCGAAAAAGGATTTGTGTGATACATGCTACAAATTTCAAATTATTGAAGATGCAAATGAAGAGCAAATCCAAAAGTATAACAAGCATATTGCATCAAAGAATAAAACAAAAATTGAGAGAGATAAGGATCGAAAGTTGAACTCCCCTTCCACAACCATAGTTTGTATTGATCTACAAAATGTTTTGAGCTTGCCAAAAAGTAATGTGGGAAACTTCTTTTATAAAAGAAAGCTCTGCTGTTATAACTTAACAGGTCACTCTTCACTGAACAAAAAAGCATATTGTATATTATGGCATGAAGGTATGTCAGGTCGTTCTAGTAATGACATTGCCAGTGCTGTGATATGTATGCTAAATAAAGTTTACAAGGATCTTCCTAATATTAATAAATTTATACTTTGGTTTGATTCTTGCGTTCCACAGAATAGAAACAGTCATATGTCAGCTGCATTGCGTGAGCTTCTTATTCATCATCCAAATATTGAAATCATTGAGCAAAAGTATTGTGAGCCAGGGCACAGCTCTATTCAGGAATGTGATAATATACATAGTCAGATTGAGAAATCATTACATTCAGCAGAAATATTTAGTCCTCTTGGGTTGGTGAAAGCAATGTTGAATGTTAACCAACGTAAACCATTTTTTTGTATACCAAATTCAAAAAAGCGATATTAAAAATTTTTCAAAAATTGCTAGTCTTCTGAACTACAAAAATGTTCCATACTTTAATGTTAAAACGCTTGTATATAGGTTTAATGCTACTGGTCATGTGTATTTCAAGACTCATTTTACAGATATTTATAAAGACGCACGGCTGTCTAAGCCAAAAAACACACGATCATCAGGAAGTAATCTTGAAGAATCATTAATTCCATTGGCATCTTGTTTTCGAAAAAATATTGAAATTTCTAGTGAAGATAAAATAATATAAAGAAGATAAAAGACATTGTTTCTATGTATCCTTACATGCCAGCTGTAGATGTTTATTTCTATAAAACATTATTTCAGTAGTTGTTTTTTCAACTCTCTATCCGGATATACTTTATTTGTGTTATGCACTATTCAGTTTTATCTTGTATAAGGTTCATTTAAACTGTTCTAAACTTGTTATTTGTATTAAAGACATTTATTTTTTATTTTCAATAAATCTTTTTAGATAAAAGTAATTTTATTATAAATAATATAGCTTTGGTTAAAATCAGTTTGTTAAAATTGAAGCTGTCCATCCTACCAAAAGCAATATATCTAGAAAACTTATTAAATGACCATATCCATTCAAATTTGCCAACATTGTGTTTTAGGGTCTATATTTGCTTTTAAATCCCAAAATTAAAAGTAATTTCTTGTAATCCATCAACTCCTCGCAAAACGTTCAAGTTGTATTTACTAAAAAATGGAGATAGCACAATATAATATTAACACGAAATTAAAATTTAAAAGTTATTTTGTTCTATCTCCAAACAGGGTGGGGCCATAATAGCGATTTGAGCAAAAAAAAAATTTTTCACAACAAATAATTATAATGAGCATATAGTCAAGTATTGAAAAACGTTTGCATTATTAAAAAATGTATTGCCACTTCTGCTGGATTGCAGTGTAAAACTTCAACTTGATTTATCTCAGTTTAAACAAATGGAGAGTTAGAATAAAATAATTCTAACCTGACGATTTTATGCTTTACAAGCACCATATTTTTTTTGCAACAAATCTTTTATAATTGATTTTCAATTATTTTATTATAATTGATTTTTTAACAAAACAATTATGTTGTTGTTAATATTTTTTAAGTTTGAAATATTTAATAAACTTGAAAAAAAAAAAAAAAAGCTAGAAAAAACTATACGTAAAATATATAAAAGAAATTTTCTAATGCTACCTTTTAAACTTAAATAACGAATCGTGTTCTAAAAGTAATATTTAGTAGAGAATAGGGGTGAAGTTTGAAGGAAATCCTTCCAAAGTATATAGCAAGTAAATGTACTTGATTTACTTTCAATATCATTAAACACATAAACACTTATGATTAAACCAGCATTCGCTTACAACAAATGTTAAAATGCATTTAAATAAATTGTTAAAATCGCTAAACATAATCACGTTAAAATCATGCTTCAAAATACAAAAATCTTATTTTACATTATAAATGAAAAATAAATTTATAAGAAATATAGTCTTTTATAGAAAGCCAAAAATTTTGACATTTTTTTTTAATAAAGAAAAATTTTGCGAATAGTACTTATAACAGCTTTCTGCACGATCTTATTTTTACTTTGACCAAAATTTATGCAACGCGCTCTAATAAAAATAATTATGCAAAGTTACGCCTTCAATAAAATACGCATAAAATAAATAATATAAAAGATAATACTAATAAAAAAATTCAACACCTAGTGATCTAACGTTTATATTATATAGCGTTCTTTCTAAATGTTTTGACTACATTAACTATGAAACTTTTTTTATGAGAAGCAAGCTGGTCCAATATCAACACCGATTTCTGATGATGTTATGCCATTACCATGAACCCCCAAATCAATAACGGGTAAAATTTCGTTTTTAGATGTAGAAAGTTCCAGCACTAACTTCTGCCATTTATTTTCAACCTAAAAATATGTAAACCGTACTTTTTATCAATTTCCTAAACTAACTATGAAATAAAATCTTTTATAATTTTTAAATTAATTTTTATCTGCATTAAAGAATCCTCTCTTTTTTTATCAAAATCTTATTTTTATAAAAATCTATTTTTATCAAAAATTTAATGTAAAAATTTACCGTGCAATCATCGGTAATAACTTTTAAAACAACTCCTCTCATTTTCTTATGATAAATTGCGCCATTATCCAACTTGAATTTGATAGTATTTTTAGCTCCACGCAGAAGAGGAATGTTCTTACAGTGAAAAGTTATTGTTTGTCGAACGGTAGTTGAAAGCAAACTTAGAATTTTCATTTGAGGTGTTTCCATTGCATAATCAAAATTCTAAAGATTAAAAGTTACAACTTGACATAATATCATCTTAGATGATATCATCTAAGATGATGTTATCTTAGATGATGTGATCTTAGATGATATCATCTAAGATGATATCATCTAAGATGGTATCATCTAAGATGATATCATCTAAGATGATATCATCTAAGATGATATCATCTAAGATGATATCATCTAAGATGATATCATCTAAGATGATATCATCTAAGATGATATCATCTAAGATGATATTATCTAAGATGATATCATCTAAGATGATATCATCTAAGATGATATCATCTAAGATGATATCATCTAAGATGATATCATCTAAGATGATATCATCTAAGATGATATCATTTAAGATGATATCACAAAAATTATTACAAAAGTACTAACAGCTTATTATCATACCACCTTATTATTAATATTATCCAATAAATACAAGCATATATACATACATTAGCAACTTCTGTCATAAGCCATTTATAGCTGTCAGTGTTATCCTTAAAGTAGTTGTTCTTAGAAATCTAAAATCAAACATTTTTTTGTAACTTTCAGAAGAAAAAAAAAATTTAATTTAAAATTTAAACTTTTTTTTATATTACCTGAGTATTTTTAGAATACACGCATGTTTCATTAGTCAATTTATTGCAATGCACTAAAACAGAATCATCAGGTGAGCCTTCATTAGGATCTATCCAATAGTCACCAGTATTAGCCCCTAAATGCCATTGGAATAATTCTAAACAGGATCTAGCCGGATTGTCTCTAGTTCCATCGCCTCCCAAAAATACTTTGTCGGCTGTTTTAAAAACTCTATACATGGTATCAAATCCATCAATATTTCGTTTAATGATTTCATCTACTTTGGATTTCTTGCCACCTTGGTAGTACTGGTGTTGGTTGTAACCTTGAAAGTAGTTTTGATAGTATTGGTTATAGTCATGTTGGTAGGAACTTTCTGGTCCTTTAGTTCCAAAACCTCCAGATGCAAAGAATTGGGCAAGTGCACCAGAAAGACCAAATACTTCTCCTTGTGGTCCAGGAGGTCCCTCACTTCCAACTAAACCAGGCTGACCTGCATTTCCAACATCTCCACGTATTCCAGGTTCTCCTCGACTACCTGCAGGTCCAGGATGTCCAACATCACCTTTTGATCCATTCCGTCCAACAGGGCCGTCTGGACCTATTGAACCACGGGGTCCTTGAGGTCCTATGGGTCCAGGCAAACCTTGTTCGCCATCATCACCTTTTTCACCCTCATCACCTGGTGGGCCAGATATACCAGTATTTCCTGTTAAACCTTTACTACCACGCTCACCAGCTTCGCCTGCTTCTCCTTGCTTGCCACTTTCTCCCGGTACTCCTGATTCCCCTTTATCTCCTTGTTTTCCATCTTCTCCACGATTTCCTTGTTGTCCTGCTGAACCTTTTGGTCCATCTTGTCCTAATATACCAGGTTCTCCGGGCTCACCAATATCTCCTTGTTCACCCATTGGACCTTGCACTCCTTGACTTCCTGGATAGCCCATGGGACCTATCTCACCTTTTCCTCCATCTTTTCCAGGTAATCCATCAGTGCCCTTTAAAGAATTATAAATAATATATAAATAAAGGTTCTACATTCAAAAATGAATTTATATTTATAAACTCATTTTTATTATAACAAAGTAAAAATCAATAACAATCCCTTTGGTGACAGAAATATATTAAATAAAATATTAACAAACATCTTTTCCTTGAATCCCTTGTAATCCTCTCATTCCATCAGTACCAGGGAAACCTTTATCACCAGGCTTTCCATTTAAACCATCTTTACCATTTAGGCCAGGAAAACCTTTTGATCCAATCTGTCCAGGTCTACCATTTCTCCCTTGTAAACCAGGAGGACCCTTAAAATATTAAATATGAATTTAAAAAAAACAAAAAAAAACAACATAAACAAATTGAGAAGTAATTAATTATAGCTAACTTGTTCTCCTCTCATGCCAACAGCTCCTTGAGTTCCAACAAAACCTTTATCACCCTAAGTATAAAATAATTTATTCAGATTTTTAAATAACCCTATTTTATTTTAAATATATAGTTTATTTAAAAAAACCTATTTTTTTAAATATATGTATAGCAAATATACTGGATATATATTATATTTAGATATATGTATATATTCTACAGCTAAACATTTTCTTATAACTCAATAACTTTTAAAATTTTAAAAGACTTTGAAGAGTTTAATATATAATTAAATAAAAAAATTCTGTTATGGATGTAACTATTTATTTTTTTTGAATTAATTTTTATACAATATTTCAAGGGAGTATAGATACCCTCGTTATCAAGTATAATATATATCAATAACTTTTTCTAGAATAACAAAGTAAAGAGTTTATTATAGTAAATTTTAAATATATTTATAACTTATTATTTTAATTACTTTAGTTCAATAAAATATAAATTACCTTTTATTTTATTGTTTAAAATAAAAAATATTTATGAAAAATTTCATATATATATATATATATATATATATATATATATATATATATATATATATATATATATATATATATATATATATATATATATATATATATATATATATATATATATATATATATATATATATATATATATATATATATATATATATATATATATATATATATATATATATACTTATAAATATATAAAAGCATATTTTACAAATTTTTAACTAAAATGAAAAATTAACATGTTTGCTATTAGTTCAAACTAGCAGTAAGCAATCCGTAATACGCGTTGTTAGTAAATAAAATTAAAAAAAAAAAACGCGTATAGAAAAGCCTAGAAATTACTTTAAAATAGAAAAGCCTAGAAAATGACATAACTCGACTTAGCGTATTCATATTATCAGATTAGTTTTTGTTACAAACATTTGCAACTTTAAAAACAATCAAATTTGAAACCTTAACACATTTAGTAAAACTTTAAGGGGGGTTCTACTCTTTGAGGAGGTTTGATATTGCTTTTGATTCACATTCTTTAATTACTCTTTTAGTAGCTTTGTTTTTATAGTTTAAAATACTTTCAAAAACTTAAATATACCAAGAACAATAAATCATCTATCTAGTTAGAAAATTTTGTATTGTATTGTTAAATATCTGCATTAAGATTACATTGAATAAGAAAAAGTTAAAAAGATATAAGAAAAAGTGATGAACTTTTTAAAAGGTTCAAAAAAATGTTGGATTAAAGTCAAATTGTAGTAAAATTTAAGCCATATTAAATGGCATGAGAAAGTAGTTTTATAAAAGACTAAAGATATCTCTTTTACTTCAAAAGAAGTGTTAAGCAATCTTGAATTAAATGAAATATAATAAAATGTCTGAGTATTTTGACTAAATGAAAATTTGGTTATTTAGTTAAAGTGAAAAACCATAAAAGTTCTTAAAGTTTCGTCTAGAGTGACTGATGGGTCTAATCTTCAACTAACTGATTGGAAATATTACAACTAATACCAGAAAGCAATGATTGTAATTTGGCCTCAACTAGAATGAATAATTGTGATCAAGTTTTGCTTAAAAATTATAAAAATTAAACTCTACTAAGTAACTAAGCAACTCAACTAAGTAACTAAGCAACTCAACTAAGTAACTAAGCAACTCTATTAAGTAACTAAGCAACTCTACTAAGTAACTAAGCAACTCTACTAAGTAACATTTTTTTTGACTTTTTCAGATTTACTTTTTATACGATAAAAAAAGCATTGCTAAACTACTTTGATGAATTTACATTTAATAATGAAACCATTAAAACTGATGTATTTTTTTTTAATTATAAATAATGTTGTTCTCAGCTCCTTAAATATAAATTTTGTTTAATTATTTATTAAATATTTCAAAACTGCTGATACCATCTCAGACAAATAAATACTTAATACTTTACGCAAAGTTACCATATGCATCTCAAGCAAACAAATACGTACTATTTGTTTGTTTGAGATGCATATGGTAACTTTGTGTAAATATGCATCTTAGACAAACAAGTCTTTCATTCTTTGCATAATTAATTAAAAATGAAAAAACTGCTTTTTTATCAAATCAATGCATGTGTTTTTAAAATGGTTAAATTAAATAAATTAAAAAACAAATTGGTTAAATACCCACCAAACTCAACAAACTTGGCTCCCTGTAACTATTACCTCTTTAAAAACTTAAAACAATTTCTTTGCAGAAAGTTTTTTTTTATAAAAGAAACAACATTTTTGTAAAAAAATATACTTGCATTTTTGCTTTCAAAACTCATCAACAAACCGTATTAAAACATAAATGAAATTCCCAATGAATAACTTCAATACTAAAAGTGCACTTTTTTATTCTTATTTTAAAATCAAAACTTGCTTTAGATTTTTGCATAGCATTATCAATCATAGCGTCATCATTTGTAGCATCATCAATGATAGCATCATTATTCATATTATCATCAATCATAGCATCATCAACCATAGCATCATCAATTGTAGCATCTTCAACTATAGCATTATAAAGAAACAAAAGGAAATTTTTTTTGATTAATCAAAATTAATTTTTTTCTAATTCAAGATTTCAATAGAGAATAATTTGTTTGAAATCATAAAATAATCCTGATGGATAATCCATTTTAAATAACAATATGCTAATCATAAACAAATCTTTTAAGAAATTACCATGCTGATATTATTATTTTCATTTCTTAGTTATAAAAAATCTTCTTGTTTTTAATGTTAGAAGTTTGAAAATTATGTAAAAAAACGTTTTTCAAAACAATTTTTGTTACTAGCAAAAATAAATTTTTTTATAGAAGTATTTGAGGAATTATATGTCTGGAAAGCATACCTCAATATTTAAAAAATTATTACTAAAATTACTGAATGCTCCAAATATTTAGTGCAGTTTCCAAAAACCTATTTTATTAAAGTTGTTGATTTGCTGACAAGATTTGCTGACAAGATTTGCTGACAACATTTTAGATATTAACAACATCTACTTTTTAGATATTAACAACATCTACTTTTTAGATATTAACAACATCTACTTTTTAGATATTAACAACATCTACTTTTTAGATATTAACAACATCTACTTAAACTTTTGTAAAAAGATTTTTAATCTAATTCACTCCCAAAAAGGCTAAAGAGCAAGGATTTGGTTGATAGAAGACTTTAAAATTTTTTCTAATTTTTAGATGAACTGCTATGCTTTACATGCTAATGACTTTTTTTTTACCACTTGAAAACAACAACATTTGGTGAAAACAACAACATTTAGTGAAAACAACAACATTTGGTGAAAACAACAACATTTGGTGAAAACAAAATTTGGTAAAAACAATAACATTTGGTCAAAACAACATTTGTTGAAAACAACAACATTTGGTGAAAACAACAACATTTGGTGAAAATCACAGAGCACAAATAAAATCATATATGTCCACATTCTTTTAGTTAAAAAAAAAGTCTTTTTCTTTGGAAAAGGTTTTAAGAACACTTTAACAACAGTAAAATTTGTTAAAAAAATTGTTTAACAAAATATAAAAATACCTCTTTTCCTGGTTTTCCTCTTTCACCATCTTTTCCATCATGTCCTGGAGGGCCCTTTGTTAGTAAAATTATTTAAAAAAAAATTTATTGTTTTATAAAAACTAGCATCTATAATTAAAAAAAAACCTTTTATAAAGCAAAAAAAAACATTTTTATAACCAAAAATTATTTTATCAGATCTTTAACATTAAAACTCATGAATATTATTATTAAATATTAATGATTATATTCTATTATTTGTAAAAATTGTTAAATATTACACAATGTTACAAATTTTTATAAAATTTTAGGATGAGGAAAAAAAATGTATTGTAAAGTTTTTCATAAAACATATAAATAATATTTTGCATACCTGTTATCAATTATGCATTTAAATTTAGTGTTCAAAACGTATGTAATTTGTTTTAAGTTTTGTGTTCAACACCTAAGTAATTTGTTTTAAGTTTTGTGTTCAAGACCTAAGTAATTTGTTTTAAAAACATCTTAAGCATCTAAATAGATAATAAAAAAATGAAATAAAATTTGAAAAAAAAGCTTGGTGTGCATTTTGTGATGCAGCTTGTGGATTTCTATAAAATCGTAAAGAACCAAAATTACAAACAATTGGTTGCAAAGTTAATTGAAAAATTCAAAAAACTGGATTGTTATATGTCCATAAAGATTCATATGCAACAACATTCACAGATTTCTTTGTGATGTCAGTGATTAGCATGGTGAAAAATTTTATCAAGACATTGCAAAAATGAACAGCAGATATCAAGAACATGGGATACTGCTAAGATAGAAAACTATATATGGTCTCTATTCAAAAAAAATGTAAATATGCACTCAAGATAAAAGAATGCACTTTAGAATATTGGGATCATTAGAGCACTTCTTATCTTGAGTATAAAATTTATTGTAATTGTAAGTTTAATAACATTTCTAGTAAAGAATTGTATTCTTTCTTTTTATTTTCATTAACATAACCTTTCCTAAATATTTTTCTATATATGAAAAAGTGCTATATGCTACGTAATTATCCTTACTATATTTGGTTGGTACAACAGACTTAGAGAAAATTTTCGCTTGTATCAAGAAAAAATGAAATTATGCATAAATAAAAACTATCAATGTGATGTTAAAACGAATGTAATTATTGAATTCAGTGGCAAAAAATACATTAGTAAACATTGGAAAATCTAGATGGGCAAGACCTTTGTTACAATGTAACAATTAATGATTATGATCTGTTCTATCATTTGTAATAATTGGGTAAAATTTAAGCAAGTAGCTAATTGTGTAACAGTCAATAGTTAGTATCTACAATGTGCCAATGGTTTAATCTACAAATAAAAGTTTGTTAGTAATATTTTACAGTTATTAAATAAACTGTTCACACTAATAACAATTTTATAATAAAAGTTAAATTATTCAAAAACTTACTTGGTCGCCACTTGCTCCAGGATTTCCAGGATTTCCAGGATCACCATCAATTCCCTTAAGTATGTAAGAAAACAAATATTCAATTTAGAATAAAAGAATAAAAGTCTGTGTTGCATATGTAACCTAATTATATTGCATGTGTAATCAAACATATCTTTTATTTAAAAAAAAAAAAAAACTAATAAAATTTTGTAATATGTGTCATTAACATGAAAATTCTCTTGGGGGGTAGTAAATAAATCTATAATTTCATATAGAAATTGAACTTATAAACTTGTATGTAACAAATACTTATAAAGTTATCTAGTATAAGGACTTAATAATTACCTAATTGCCTTAATTAATGTAATTAGGTAATTGATGATAATTGAAAAATTTCATTGAATTAAAAAAAAAAAAAAATTTTTATTTCATTAATTACTCTATTTTTTTTCTTATATAAATAAAAATAAATGAAAACAAATAACAAAAAATTATCTACCCTTGGTCCTGGTTGACCAGCATTTCCATCTCTTCCTACTAACCCAGGTTGTCCTACAGGACCTACTTCACCATTTGGACCTTGCAATCCTTGTGGCCCTGTAGGGCCAGGCAAACCAATTTCACCAGTTCCTCCTTTAGAACCAGATTCTCCTAATGCTCCAGCTGTTCCCTGAGCTCCATCCTCACCAACTGGACCACTTTCTCCTGGCTCACCACGATCACCTACTGGACCTGTTGGACCTCTTGGCCCAGGCTCTCCTGGTAAACCACGTAGCCCTTGCACACCAGGTTGCCCTGGCTGCCCTGGTTGACCATCTTCACCATGAGGTCCTTGAGCTCCATCTAATCCAGGTAAACCTGGTGCTCCATCTTCTCCAGGTTCTCCTCTTTTACCTAAGGGACCAGGTGGTCCTGTTATTCCAGATGGTCCCATTTCTCCAACTGCACCATCTTTTCCAGCAGCTCCCTTTAATCCTTGTTTGCCTTGGCTACCTTTTGATCCTGTATTTCCCTTACTACCTTGTTTTCCTCTCATTCCGGGCAATCCAACATTGCCTGATGATCCCTTTGGTCCAACTAGACCAATATCTCCCTAAACATATTTCAAAGCTTAGCATTTTAGAAACTTTCATGAAACATGAAAAATATTTACTAACTTTATTCAAAAACATATATTATTCAAAAATAACTATTATTAATGCTTACAGAACTTCCAGGAGCTCCAGGTGCACCAGTTTCCCCTCTTGGCCCTTGTAATCCAGTAGTACCAGTTGCACCAATTTTTCCAGCAATGCCTGGATAACCCTATATAGTTCAAATATACATACATATATACATATAAATATACTACATACATGTGTATGTAGAACATGACTTAAATCCGCAGGAATACATGTACATGTATGAATTTTCACATAAAAATGTTAATTAAAAATTGTACTGCTAAAAAATAAAAATTACTCGATTTCCAGTAGGTCCAGGTTTTCCCTGTTCTCCTTTGTCTCCCTTTATAAGAAAAAATCAAAATTAAGTTTAAATTCACTTTGGTTAAAACAATCAATTACCATTACCAAAAGCAAAAAGATTTTAAGTAAAAGTTCTAACAGGGTTTCCATCTTTGCCATCTGTTCCTGCTGCTCCAGGTTGGCCAGGAGGTCCCTAGATAATTAAAATTATTTTTCATTTATGTTTATATCAATATTAATCAATTCATTCTAAAAACAGATACATACACCTTGGATTAAAAGTATTTCTTTTACATACCTGTATTCCTGTTGATCCTTGTGGGCCTTCAGCTCCAGTGTCACCACGTCTACCCTTATGTTTAGAAGATAAAAAATATTGTCATGTATTGTTCTTCTTAACATATAATAAAAGAAGTTAACATATAATAAATTTTCAAATATATTTTAGAAAAAACATACTGGAACTCCAATAGGTCCTGAAACTCCTTTTTCTCCTGTAGCACCAGTTGCACCCTGCACTCCTTTAGGTCCTTGCAAACCAGGTGCTCCCAAATCTCCATTATCACCCATTTCTCCTGGCATTCCAACTACTCCAGTACTACCGGCTACACCTTGCATACCAGGCAATCCTGGTAGACCAGTATCTCCATTTTTACCATGGAGTCCAGATGGCCCAGTTTTTCCATCACGCCCAGTTGCTCCAGGTTGACCAGCAGTGCCTGGCTCTCCTGTTAATCCTCTATCTCCTGCTGAACCTTTAAAACCTTTTTCACCTTTATTGCCTTCAGGGCCAGTTAAACCTGTTTCTCCAAGGTTACCCTAAAATATATTGTCCTTGCATATTACATTATCAATTTTTTTAAAACAATTTAAAAAAAATTTAAAACAAAGATTTAATCATATTTAACAATAAAACAATTTTTTCCTTACTTTTGCTCCTTCTTGCCCAGGAAATCCTGGTACTCCAGGTTGTCCCTGTGGACCTTGTACACCAGGAGCTCCAACTTCTCCTCTTGGACCAGTTGGACCAACTTTACCTTCTAAACCTTGTTTACCTGAAGGACCAATTGCTCCTTGCAGTCCGGGATCACCTACTTCACCTTTTGGACCAATACTTCCTTGAGGTCCCTGTTGCCCTGTATCTCCTCTTTTTCCTACAGTACCAATCTCTCCTTGAATTCCTTGACTACCACGCTCCCCTATCTGCCCTTGAGGTCCAGGTAGACCTTGAGGTCCTACATCTCCTATAGCTCCTTTTGCACCTGGGGTACCAGGTTTACCCTGATCTCCATCAAAACCTTTTGGTCCAGGAGAGCCATCTTCACCAACTGGACCAGCATCTCCATTAATTCCTTTTGCACCACGCTCTCCCTGTTCACCAGACTGACCTTTGCTTCCTTGTGCTCCACGTATACCGGGGGAGCCTTTAAGACCTACTGGGCCATCATCACCTTTACTTCCTCTAGCACCATCAAGACCACGGGGACCAACTGGACCAGTTGGTCCGTCTGGACCAACAATTCCCATTTGTCCTTGAAATCCCTAAAATAATGCTAAAATTATAACAACTAATATAAAAGAAACAAAAATATTAAAAAAAGAAAAACAAAAAAATTTTTAAAGAAACAAATAATGATGCCAAGACTCAAATTAAACTTGTTACAACCACGATTGCTTTTCAGACCTCAAGATTTTTTTATCACAGGTCATTTATTTCTTCTGACATTTTTCCAAAGATAGAATATGTATGTGTATATATATATATATATATATATATATATATATATATATATATATATATATACACAGATGTTTTTAATCATAGCAAGATTAAAAATTTATATTTTTTAAAAATTTGTGAAACTTTATTAGTTTTCAAAAAACAACATTTTTTACCGCATATTCTGTATTAGTTTTCCATACAACAAAATTTGATTTTAAATACATTTTTTTTATTTGAATGCAAATCTGTAGAAACATTCTATTGCAATTTAAGAGTGAAATAAATTCAAAATAATAAAGCTTTAATTCTGTTTTAAATATTTTCTTGTTCCATAATAATCCGAAACCTAATTATTAAAATATAAAAAATATTATTACTTCTCTAACATTATTTTTTTGAAAAACTAAATTATTATTTAATTTTTACTTATGAAATTTTTAATAGTATTTTAGTAGAAATCTAGAAAGTGTGTCAGAATCGCATAATAAAATTGCCTTGATCTTACAATCCTTATTATGCCGAGTTAGTGCAAACAAAATTTTTGTAATCAAATTTTTTTATAGGTTAATTCGAGGACTGGAAGAAATATTTTTAATATTACATATTTAGCATCTACAATGACTTTAACAATTACCATTTCTCCTTGTTCGCCTTGATCCCCCTTGTCACCTTTGTATCCCTTTTCTCCAGTCCTTCCTTGGTCACCTTCATCACCTTGTAAACCTTTTGACCCCTAAAAAAAAGATTTGACTAAAATTTTGTGTTCTTGTAAGCATTTTACATCATAGTTTTTATTAAACTTTTTAATTTACTTTTTATTAAATTCTTTTCAACTTCATATATAAATGAAACAAAAATTGTAATAATTATATATAAATATGTAAACAATTATTTATAACTTTAAATATGTAATTATAAAAGCATTGCGCTGAAAAAAAAAAAAAAAAAAAAAAAAAAATTTTAGTTTATTTAAAACTTTAACTTTTAAGTGCAGCTAGGAGTAGGAGTAGGAGCTTATAGTGTAGGAAAAGTTTTTTTTGTTTATTCAATAAAGACATTTTTTTCAAATATTTTTAATTTATTCACTTAGGTTACATTTATTAGTTTCTTAATTCATAATTTCATATTGTTCAAGAGATTAAATAAAATAATATTATTTCTTGAACGAATCCTTTCAACAATTGTCAAAATAATTAATGATTATCCACAAAGTTATTAAATAACATTAAAGGATTAAAAACAAATACCTAACATAAAAAAACATAAAAACTTTTTTCCTCCTGGAAAACTTCTGATACCCATAGTGAACAACCAAATGTTACATAGTGGGCTCATCTGTGCCAAAAGTTAAAACTATCATATTCTTAAAAACCAATTTTTTAAATAAAAATATACTGCATATACTGGCTTTTTCAAAAATGAAGCTACTTTTGAACATCTTCAAAAATTATAAAAATTTACTGAAAAAATAAAATTGACTTAATTAAAAACAAAGATGCGGAGTCCCAAAAGGACTCCGGCTTTATATCTCTACTTTTTCCAAGTCTGTAGTGTCCAGAAGCTCTGAACATATTTGTTGACTTTTGATCTGCTATAAGAAAAATATTTGTGAGATTTAATAACTTGAAATTTTTTGTTTTTAAGTCCGGAGTCCCGGAGTCCTTGCCACCATTATACCTAAGGACTCTGGGTTCAAAAAATGATTGTTCCTCTAACCTAAAAGTCCTAATTTTTTTCCTATTAGTAGTTCATAAACTTATTTATATTTTTAGAGCTCCTGGATACCAAAAACTAGGATGAAGTAATCTTTTTGTGACTTTCAAATCCAAAGTCCCTTTTGGGATTCCGCATCCCTGATCAAAAATATCAAATTTAAAATTTTTTTAATTTTTTTAGTAAATTTACATCTCTTTTTTTTATTTTTTTGCAATATCAACAAAATATGAACGTAAATTATGTTTATTTTTATATATGTCCTAGAGGTTATTATTATATATATTTAGTGAATTTATTTTAAAAATATATATACACACAGACACACACACACATATATATCTATACATACATATATATATATATATATATATATATATATATATATATATATATATATATATATATATATATATATATATATATATATATATATATATATATATTATATATATATATATATATATAGAGAGAGAGAGAGAGAGAGAGAGAGAGATAGGTTCATCATATATATATATATATATAGATATATAAAGATTCCTCAATAAGAATTATCAATAAGAATTCGGCTATTCTAGTAACATATTTGTTAGTGATTACTTGCTAATATTCCATTAAAAAATCTTGTAAACCATACTTGTAAAAGATTATTGGAATAATTACAGAGAGAAGTAATTTTGTCTCTGAAGTTTGACAAAGCAACATTGTATTAAAAACTCAATTTGATGGCTCAACTAGACAAAGCAATAAACAAAATATATAATATGACAGTACTCAAAGCTTATCAAATAAAATTCTTTATTTTTGACTCGCATTATTCCTTATTTTCAAGTTTAGATTAGAAAATTTTTTTGAAGAAACTTGAAGTCATCCTCAACAATTTATTGTCAACTTTAGAAATTAAAGTTTAAAAACGAAATGATATCTGTAAAATAAAAAGAAAAAATTGATTCTATTAATCATTCTTTTAGAAAGACAAAAGGTTTGTTACAAACCATAGTAAAGTCAAAATGATTGATGGAAAAGTGTATACTGTAAAGTCTAAATAGATTTTAATATAAAGATATCTTATTGTGAAATACAGATATCTTATAGTGAAAAGAAGGACACCGTCTATTTTTTTTGGTGTTAAAAGACTTTATTGCAAGTCTTTTGAGGAATCTCAAAAGACTTGCAATAAAGACTTTTAACACCAACAATGTGCAAAAAAATTAGGCCAATTAAAATGCAATATTTATAATCAGAAAATTATAAATTTTTAAAGTTATAGAATAATTTTTTCAAATTATTTTTAAATTTACTTAATATTAGCTATAATTGTAAATATAAGCTCATAATTATTTCCTGTATTTTAGTAAATGTAAATTTAGTAAATTTCTTTTCTTTTAACAAAATAGTAAATATAACTTTATACTTTTAATAAAAAATATTTAAAAACTTTTTTTTTATTTTTATTAACTTTATGAAAAAAAATTTTAATAAGAAATATTATCTCATTTAAAAAGCAACTTTTTTTACTAAAAAGATTCTAAAAAACAATAAAAAGTTTTATATAATGGAAATGTCCTCTTATAATTGCTTGTAAATTACTAAATAACACATAAATAAGAAAAACACATAAATAAGAAAAACATATTGAGAACATTTATGTGTATTTAAAAGACATACCTCTTCACCTTTGAAACCAAATGGTCCTTGATTACCTTGAATACCTTGATGACCTATATTTCCACCTTTACCAGGATTCCCCTTAATGCCAGGTTCACCCCGTGCACCCTTCAGTCCATCAACACCAGGATCTCCAGGTTCACCTCTTGGCCCATATTCTCCTAATAAACCTGGAAGTCCAATAACTCCTTTTAATCCAACTAGACCTTGATTACCCTAAATTAAAATTTAAAATTAAAATAATGTAAACAATGTTCTTAACTAGAACTAAATTAGTTTAATAAGACATAAAAATCATTTATTAAGTAAATTGTGCAACATATTGCAATTAAGAAGTATATATTAATCTTTTATTCAGAATATTAAATTTAACAATATTTTAAATTTGGTAATACTTTTCTTCAAAAAAAAGCTAAAAAAAAAGCCTTTAAAAACTCAAGTATTTAATAAATTGTTTATTGTGTACTGAATTATTAAACAAATTGAAAACAAGAATAAATAAACTGAAGATAATCAAAATTACTAAAAAATCATTGTCTTGTATCAAAACTTTAAACAAAATAAAAGGTAATTCAGCTTGATATAAAGAACTTTAATAGAGACCTTAGGTCCAGCTTCCCCAATATTTCCAGTTTGTCCTTGTGGTCCTTCTGGTCCAGGCTGGTAATCAAATGTTGTTGCAGAACCATAAAATTCTCCAACAATACCAACACGAGCTGCTTCAGGATCTGGCCTTTTCTTAAGAGAAAAAAAATTGCATTATTTTAACATTTTAATGTTAAAGCAAAAAACATTTTACTGTTAAAATATTATATAAAATTATAAACATGTCAAAACTATATAAATCAAAATAATCATGAAAAAAATTACAAAACTCACAGAGAATTTTTGTTTGAAAATTAATTTAATTACTACAAAGTGATGTACAAAATATTTTTTGTGTATAAGATAAATAGCTTTCTAAGTTCATATTGCAAATAAATTGCAAATCTTATGATTTTCATAGTATTATAGTATGTTAAATTTTAGAAACTGAATGTTTTTTTCAAACAATTATTTGAAAAAGCAATTTCATTTTTAATTTACAATTCTTGATAAATAAAAAACAAATAAATATGGCAAAAAATAAATTTTTAGTAGAAACAAAAAAAGAAAATATATTTGATAAGACAATTAAAAGTAACATAAAGAAAAATGATTTTTTACAATGAACTTGAATTACTTGTCATTAAACTAGAAGTTACTTTTAAAAAAATGTTAAACTATGAAATGTTATCAAAGTAACTTTGATATCCATTTTACTTTAAATGCAGTTTTGATAAAACAGAAACTGCTCTGGCAATAATCATTAACCTTGTTAAATTGTGATTAAAATAAATTTTGAGCTCAATGACACAGACAAATTTAAAACCAGAAAAAGATGAAATTTCCTAAAACATTAATTAGCACAGTATTATAAGTATAGTAAAAATCATCATTAGATTAAGTAATATGCAAAAATTAAACCTTTTAATAATACTATCAATAATAGCAATTCAAATCTTTTTATGGGCAAAAGTATTGAAAACCTTAAAAATGTATAACAACAAGAAAACTTGTACCACAATTTAATGTTACAAATTAAACTGCATATTAAAAAAAAAATCATACTAATATCACAGAAGGTGAAATCCATGGCACTATTTTAATAAACTATATTAAGAAATCTACAGCACTATTTAAATAAACTATATTAGACAATGAAAAATCTACGGTTTATTTAAAACACTCTACCATCAAGTTTTTATTAACTGCAATCAATAATTAAACTATTTTAAAAACTTCATAAATTTTTTTTTTTTTTGTTAATTCACCTCCTCAAGGTTAAAAGGCCACTACAGACAAGGAGGTTACTTATTTGTGATTATAACCCTCTCTCAACTCTATAACTCCAAAACACGAACCTTGACAAACAAGGCCGCTGCGCAGAGAAACGAGTTGAAACAGTTATAGAAAGCTAAGCTTTTATATAAAACATAAAATATATAAAACAGTTATCTACTTACATTTGACCCTAATCCTCCTACTGCACTTCCTGCACCTGGTGGTCCCATTAACCCTGGTTCACCACGAGTTCCTTTACGCCCATTTTTTCCAGGTTCTCCCTGCAAATATCATATATGTATACACATATTTAAATATATATATATATATATATATATATATATATATATATATATATATATATATATATATATATATATATATATATTAAATATGTGTATATGTGTGTATATATATATATATATATATATATATATATATATATATATATATTAAATATGTGTGTATGTGTATATATATATATATATATATATATATATATATATATACATGTATATATATATATATATATATATACATGTATATATATATATATATGAATATATATATATATATATATATATATATATATATATATATATATATATATAAATATACATATACATATATACAAATATATGTGTATATATATATATGTATATAAAAAATTAAATTAAAAAATTAAAAAAAAATAAGAATTTTTGTGAAGTGATTTTCTACTAATTTATGTATATATATATATATATATATATATATATATATATATATATATATATATTTATATATATATAAATATATATATATATTTATATATATATATATAAATATATAAACATATAATAAATATATATATATATTAATATATATATATATATATATGTATATATATATATATATATATATATATATATATATATATATATATATATATATATATATATATATATGTATATATATATATATATATATATATATATATATATATATATATATATATATATATATATATATATATATATATATATATATATATATATATATATATATATATATATATATATAATATGTATATTTAATGGAGTAAAATGTAACTATTTAAATTTTTTTAAACCTTAAGTATGCGTTTCATTAGTATTAGTAAAAATTAAAAAAAAAAAAAAACCTACCTTATCTCCTATTATTCCATTTGGACCACGATCTCCTCTATCCCCAAATATACCCTAAAAACCATTTGAATTAAAAAAAGTCCAAAACACACAAAAAATGCAAAAGCTACTATAGAAAATACCTTATCACCCTTTATGCCTTTAGATCCCTTGTCTCCCGCTAGATAAATTGTCTAAAAGAAAAATTTCCTAATAAATGCAAGCTTTTTTGTACAATACTTGAAAATCCATAATGTGGTACGTCATATAACGCAATTGTAATTTTTATTGTTGACATATATATTGATATATATGTGTGTATGAGTGTGTGTGTGTGTGTGTGTGTGTGTGTGTGTGTGTGTGTGTGTGTGTGTGTGTGTATTGATATATATGCAGGCTGTTAAACTATTGATATAATGATGATATAAATGTTTTATGTGACTTACGTTTGGCTGTGTCTGCCTAGCTACCCTTTTCTCAGCTAAATTAAAGATAAATATAATTATATATTATTCATACATACAAACATGCATATTAGGGTACAGCAACAATTACATGTTTAAAAAAAAATAAATTCAGTTTTTATTTATTAAACTCTCATTAAGAGTGAAGCGCCAAATCAAATTTAAAAAATAATTTGATTTTCACAGAAACCAAAATAAATATTCTAACAGAGATCTTGCCAGTGATCTGATTCCACTTGTTCTTGCTCAATGGAGAAAAACAAATATAAGGTTTCTACAACCAGTTATTATTGGAGAGAACTTTATTATAGAATAAAACTAAAGCAAAAATAAAAGAGCTTTAAAGTTTAAAAAATAAAATAAAAGAACTTTAAAGAATTAAAGTTAGATAAATTAATAAACTAGTAAAGCTGTCAAGATGCTAAGGTGAGCTAAGATGTTAAGGTGAGCTGCAACCTAAACTTTCACATTATCATTATCACCTACCACATTTTCCTGTAATAATGCAGAAGACCATAAATTTGCATTTGATCATATTTTGAAACTAATAGGTAATGATATCCTTGGAGATATGCAAATCAGATCAAGAAAAAACTGAACTTTGCAGCAGCTACTTTCCACTACTTTCCAGCTTATATATCTTAGCAACAATAATTATCAATTATCAATCTCAGCAACAATAAGTTATTGTTGCTAAGATTGAACCCTTTAATTTAAGTTATTGTTGCTAAGACTGAACACAAGTCGATTATAAATGTGGAAAAGTTGGCTGGTTTGCCAAGCTATGTAAATCTTCTAAACTTACAACAACTGGGATGAATCTTATTGATCAACCTTTGAACTCATACAATTTTTCACTTATTTGACTAGACTACCCTGAACATAGAAATAATTGAAAGAAATTTGCAGCCTCCAATTCAGCTTTGACTAAATCAACAATTGTTATATTAGTTAATGGTTCATATATAAATGTTCTCATTAACAGTGGTAGCACTGAGAGTTTTATTCACCCTCGGCTAGTACAAATACTAAACTTGTTTGTTCATAGAAACAACAAAAAACTGGTATATATGGTTTTATCTTCCTTACTTAGAAAAAGTTGCATAGAAGCTTTTGTCAATGTTTCAAAAAAAAAATGACAATGTAAAAGTTAAGTTTCACCTGTTTGTAAAAAATTACAAACAAGTGAAACTTAACATTTTAAATTAGTTATGCAAGGTTGTTATTCTAGGTCTTGATTTTCAAAAACAACATAAATCTTTAAACCTAAATTTTGAATGAAAAAAGGCGCCCACTAGTAATTTGTAGTTTGTCAAAGCTGTTAACTATTTGCTTCAAAATCTCAAAGAAACAGCAAAGAAGATCAGTTATTTATTGAAATGGAAGTCCAACATATACGTAAGGAGGACATTATTGAACCTGCAAATTCTCCCTGGAAAGCTCAAGTAGTTGTAACTAAAGGAGGTTCTAAGAAAAGATTAGTCATCGACTAGAGTAAAACAATATACTCAACTAGATGCTTACCCATTACTAAGGATTAATGACCTAGTAAACAAAATTACTCAATGCAAAATATTCAGTATTTTTGATTTGAAATCAGCCAACAACCAAATTTCTATTACCAAAAATGATAAAAAATTTACAGCTTTCGAAGCAAATGTCAAGTTGTTCCAATGTAAAAAATTGTCTTTTAGAATAGATACTTTTGATTATTTAGGTAACATGACATATTGTCATGTAAAACCCAAGAAGAGCATGATAATAATCTCGTAAAATTTCTCAAATCAGCTAAAAGAATTAAACTTACATTTAATCATGATAAATGTAGTTTCTCACAAAATGAAATTAGCATTTTTGGTTAACTTATAGAGGAAGGAAAATTCAAGCTAGATCCCAGTTGCCTTTAACCAATGAAAAAGATGCCTCCGCGTCATGATGCCAAACCTATGAAGTGTATAATTGGACTATTCTCTAGCTTCTCTTACCAAAAACACTAAGTATCCATTAAAGCATCAATGTATAAATGATTTCAATCAACTCATACAGGACATTGCAAATGTTGTGACAGATTATGTGGATGAAAATGTTCGAAGTAAAAACTGATGCACTTTACATTGCTATAGTTGCAGTTATCAATCAAAATGTCCTGTTGTTTTCTTTTCCAGATTATTCTAAAAATTTGAGCTTAAAATTTATTGAGAAAGAAGCATGCACAATAATAGAAGCAGTCAGACATAGGAGACACTACCTTATTGGATGCCATTTTAGACTTATTACTGATCAGCAACCTGTATCCTATATCTTTGAAAAGCAAAACAAATAAAAAATAAAAAAAGATAGTTTAATCAATCATCTGTCATCCTGGATATTTTATGCTTTTATTTAAAATCAAAATTTACTATTCTTAGTTGTAAACTGTCTAAACCAAAATACCACAAACCACTAAGATCCGATTTGATAAAACAATGTAGCCATTGGAACGTTTAAACCTAGATTTTAAAGGACCTCTTTCTTTAGAAACTAATAACTTGTATTTTTTAACCATTATTGATGAGTATTCTCGTTTTTTTCGTTTTCCCTTCCACTGATATTTTATTACAGACTGTAATTAAATTATATATTTTTCTATGTCAAGTTTTTTCAATTTTTGGTTTCACAAAGTATATTTATTCCAATAAAGGTTTAGCTTTCATCAGTAAAGAATTAAAACAATACGTACTAGAGAAAGGTATTGCAACAAGTCATAATACTACAGCATATAATCCCCAAGGGAATGGCAAAACGCTTAACAGGTATAGGTGCCCTAACTAAATATAGGTTCACCCAAACTAAATATTCTGTAAAAAACAAATCATACCCTCCAATTGGAGGATATAAATATAATATGTAGTCGGATAAATATTGGCTAAACTCCATTGGACCAATGTACGCCTGGTCCAATGCGTCTCGCAACGTTGGCCCAACGTTAGTTACCAACAATAGGCCGACGGCGTAAACGTTGGGTTGTGTGTTAGCTGGGAGCTTTAGTAAAATATAACATTATCAAATAAAGGAAAATAAATACAAAGAAAAATTTTCACTTTTTCATCCGTCACACGTTACATTACAACTGTTGTAAGTAAGCAACTTTATAACTACAAAAGAGAACTTTACTTATCAGAGAATGAGTCTGTATCCAATTTCAATTGAAAAAAATCGTTTAAAAAAATCAAAAAAACTTTAATATGATAATAACAATTGTTAATAATATTTTAGACTTAAAAATCAAATATACTAAAAATGATTTTTGTCAAATATATGAACTGTGAAGACTTCCTAAAACAAAAATAAAGAATAAACTTTAACCCTAATCAAAAAATATTTAAAATTGCCCCCCTTAAGACATGGTCTGGACCCGCCCATGCCAAGTGTTGGTAACATTGAGAGTGGATTTTCTGTGTTTAATTTCCTTCACACAAATCAGAGAAACTCTGTATCTATGATTTTTATCAACATTAAGAAGACTGATTTCTATCAATAGTAAGAAGACTGATTTCTATCAATAATAAGAAACTGAAAACTGAAAAGAGAGTGATTTGTGAGTAGTTAGAGGAGTCAAAACAATCTCTAGCGGTGTAAAAACTGGAATCACAGATGATTCACAAATATTTTAGTTAAGCTCTAGGTAGTAAAATATTAGAAAGTAATGAAGTATGTTCCGCAAAACACTTTTGTAAGACTGTGACAAATATGTTTTTTGAACCACAAGTTGCAGATAAGTTCAAGGTAAAAGACACCTTAACAACAAAACCAGTACTGATTTGGATCTAAAAAGATATACCAGCAAAATTACAAAGCTTTTAAATAATAAATCAAGCCGTAGTTTTATTAAGTTTCACTGACAATAAAAACTTGAGTATTTTTGTTATGTTATGTACTTATGTATTATTATGCATTTTTATAAAGTTTACATTTTTCAGAATGATTTCTACTTAGTGCAAAGTTACATGTCTGAATATATATAGAGATAACTTTCAGACATACCGACGGTATTCATGAAAATCGTTGCGGCCGCAAATTATTAAGTAACCTTGACCGTTCATTTTGCTACTATAAAAATTACAAAAGGCTAATTAAGAACAATAAACCGAAGCCTTTTAAGTATTTTTATTGCTAATAATTTTTTTGATTTTTTTTTTTTTTTTTTTTAATTTTCATGCTATTTTTTAGTTATTAAAGTTATTTTTTGAATAAGAAAAATTTTTCTTTGCTTAAGTATTAAACCAGATAAAAAAACAAACATTAATCAGGTAAAAAAAAAAAAAAAAAAACCTTAAGCATTCGTCATTATTTTCCATACATATTTTCTTACACATTTTCGTTAGTGTTAAAAGTAAAATTAAAAATAAAAGTTTTAAAGCAAGTAAAAGTTTCATTAATAATTATAATAAATAGAAATTTTTAGCAAAAATTAAATATAATAAAAAATCAAATTTTTTTAAAATTTAACAAATATCAATTTTTTGTTCTGAAACTGTTTTATTTTTATTTTTTTATTAGGTTATTTTCTTTTCTTTGGCACGTATTCCTTATATTTGAATGCTTAAAAAAATATTTTTTATTATCCCAACTTTTTTCTCAAAATTTGTATGCTTAGTGCACGGTTCAATGAACTTTGGTGTCTGTGAAAGTACTCCTCTGAAAAAAAAAACATGCCAGGCATGTTTAAAAACTTCATAAAAAACCAAAAGCAGTTTTCATGAAAAACATGTATTTATGTAAAACTAGAAATCGACTTTAATATTACAGAATTGAATTAAAACTGATTTGCTAAACTAAATTACTAAAGAAATCATAATGTCGCATGTCAACAAAGTTTTCACATTTTGTTTTAAGTTTTTTTTTTTGTTTTATGTTCAAATATAAAAAAATTTATTTCCAAAAATTTCTGGTATACTTTTAAAACAAAATAAAGGCAGAAAATAAATATAAAATAATACTCATTATAACTTTATATTCTTACCATGTACCCATACAAATAAGAAAACCAGTATAGGAATTGCTAAACGCATAGTTTTAACTATCGTATGCAGAAAAATCAATTCCTTAAAATGAAAGCAGACTCATAAAATAAGATTTTAAACGTTTCGAGCTCTTCCTATTTAATCTGAGTGGTTTATTCAAAAAAGTAAATTTCTCATTAGTTAAATTTGAGAATGAATTTAGGAGAATGTTTAGATAAAACCTTTACCTAGTGTGTTGGCAAACAAAAGACACCTTTATGAATAAAGGTTATTGTCTATTCTTTATTTTTGTTTCAGGAAGTCTTCACAGTTCGTATATTTGACAAAAATCATTTTTAGTATGTTTGATTTTTAATTCTAAAATATTTTTAACTATTGTTTTTATCATATTGAATTTTTTTTTTATTTTTTTAAACGATTTGTTTCAATTGAAATTAAAAAAAAAAAATTAATAAAGAAAAGAAAATTTTTTTGTCAATTTTTATTGATATCCATATCAATAATATCCGTTTGACAAAAATATTATAGAACCTAAATAATACTATAAAAACATAAAAAAATATACTGTATTTATAAACTATTTTTTTAATTATATTCTCAAATTTGCCCTTGTTTAAATCAAATGAATCTAACGATTATTAATGTAATTAAAAGTAATTATCAAAATTTAATATATATATATATATATATATATATATATATATATAGAGAGAGAGAGAGAGAGAGAGAGAGAGAGAGAGAGGGCCGGCGCGAGTAGGTGTCACGTGGAGGGGGGGGGGTTGCCATTACAACTTTTGCCGACGAAAAAAAAAAAAAAGTCCTCGTTTTCCAAAATTTGCCGACTGCCTTGACGACATTTCACGACGTTAGAATTATCTTGTTCTATCTCCACATTTTTGAGTTTTGAGATAAAACGATTTAAAAAATAAAAACTTTAGGAGATGGCATATAAAAACAACTTTTTAACTTACCTTTTCTTCGCAACTTTTTTACTTATAACTTAAGTTTTAATACAATAGAAAAACATTATTCTGAGGTACAAAATAAAGGTATCAATAACTCAATTTTTTTTAAAAAGTGAAGATAGAACAAGATAATTCTAACGTCGCGATTTGCCGACTGTCTAGATTACTGACTAACCTGTATCGAAAGGGTCGACATTTACCGACTAACTGGTCTAAAGGGTCCCATTTGCCGACTAAGGGTCCAATTTGCCGACTCAAAATCATTGATGAGGGTGGGGTGTCAGACCCCCCGCACCCAGGGTGCATTATTCTTTTTAGTTATCATTGTTGTAAGGTATTATAACATTTTATAAAGACATAAGTTGCATCATTTTATCGTGGGATTGTAAGATCTACAACGTTTTACATCTTTTCATTAAATTGTCGGGTTTACTTCACTTTCTTATAACCTCCATACTTCCTGAGATAATTCAGTATCGTTTTTAAATTTTTCGATATTTTAAAAAAGATTTTGTGTGTTTACAGGCCTGTAGGAACAAAAATTATATTGGGGGATGGGGGAGCGCAATACTATTGGGTAGATCAAGTAGTAGTAGGTCAAAAATTTTTGTCTAAAGAACTTACGCCGAAAATACGGATAACAAATTAGGTCTTTTCTATCCTTTTTTTTCTTTTATATCTTAATTTGTAATCGTTTGCTTTTTTCTAAAAACTAACTTCAAAATTAGTTATTTGAAAAATTATTGAGGAGGGGGCAATGCCCTGCTGCCCTTCCTCCCCCCTTTCCCCACCGGTTGCTACAGGCCTGAGTAAGCGTAACTAAGTTTGAATGCGGTTTCACTAAATCCAAAATACACTTTTTCATTCCCGACTGTAGTGACTGGGTATAGAGTGGCTTGATACCTTATGTTATTTACGAGGCAATGTTGATTTAAAAGGCACAAGCTAATTTATAATGCTGGAATAGCTGAAAAAGAAGTAAAATTCCGACAAGTTCATATACCTCTGCGAAGGTTGCTCGTTATTAAACAACAATGATTTTCGGGCTTGTTTAATTATTAGTTTATCTTCGTTTTTAATTTTTCAGAAAGTTTAATCGCGTTATTTATAAATTTCTTTACTTATAGAAGGATAAAATTCAATAATGTCAAAAATCAAAAGTTTATAAAAATGTTTGTTTTTAATACATTTGAACCAATCTAAAAGGTTTTGCGTGCTTTTCCATTGATTGAGACAGAGAATATTTTTCAGCTCAACAATAACGCTAAATAAAATAAATTTACTGATTCTTCCGGGCGAGAACCAGGGGCGAATGCAGCATTTTTTGATGTTTGAGATAACTTTCAGACATATAGTAAAAGTTAAATGTTTATATGTATATTTATATCAAAAAAAGCCCAGCAAACATACCTTTATCGGACCGCCGTGTTCTTGCAATCGGTACAATGTACTGGCACTACGCTAGCGTTCTATTCTTGTACCTCTACGCTTTGCTCATCAATTCTACAACGGTCTTTCATCCACAAGCCACTGATAGCCCGATGATGGACCAGCAGAATCTTAGCAAACCTGCCTTCGTTGGTCCTTCGTTCAAACCTGTCCACGGCGGTCCTCCGTCGACAAATCGGCATTATAAGAAACGCCAATTTCAGGTCATTGTTATGCGTCGCGAAACCAAATTAAAAGAAAATAACAAATTATTACTCAGAAAAATATCCCTAGTAGCAAACAATATTGGGGCAATATTGTTTACAATATTGGCGCAATATTGTAAACTATATCGGGCCAATGTTGCAATGTGAACATTTTGTCAATATTGGCTAATATTGCTCAGTCAATATTGGCTAATATTAACGATACAATATTGCACCAATACTGTAAAGTCAATATTGGCCAAAATTTGCAAAATGCTCACATTGCAATATTGGCCCGATATAGTTTATAACATTGCGCCAATATTGTAAATAATGTCGCGCCGATAATGGGAATATTATAGTGGCCAATATTGGTTTAATATAGTTTACAATATTATCCTTATATATATAATATATATGACTAAATTAAGGCAATATATTGAATATTTTTGATTAAATTTTTATTATTAAAAAATAATTAAAAAAATTGCCTTCTATAAATTTGTAATACTATAGTAAATTTGTAATACTATAGTACCAGGGTGCATTATTCTTTTGAGTTAAACAGGTTATAGTCTAGGAGATGACAATGATCATAGAACACGCTTTAAGAAAAAAAAATTCGAAATCATTAAATTTATTTGAAGTTAAATGAAACAGATACAAATGAAAAAAAGACGTATAGAGTTTTCCAAAACCAAAATATAACAAAATAAAATCAAAGCTATTTAAATACAGGTACAAAAAATATGTATATATATATATATATATATATATATATATATATATATATATATATATATATATATATATATATATATATATATATATATATATATATACACATATATATATATATACATATATATATATATATATATATATATATATATATATATATATATATATATATATATATATATATATATATATATATATATATATATATATATATATATAAACTACTATATTATAATTTCACTATGAGATAGTGGGCATCGACTTTCATTATTTTAGCGATACTTATTTCATTGCTCAATATTGGGGATTGCTCAGTTACGGTTCTATTTTTCTTCCGTAATCTCTATTAATGGCCGTCGCCAGAAAGCTGCCAATTTTTTCTTTAATACTTTTGTCAACGAATACAACGATAAATGACTAAACGCAATTCTAAAAAATGTTTTTTCAATATCATCACAATATAATTTTGAAATATATAATTTTTCACGTATAAATTAGGGTTGTTCGCCGAAAAACAAAACTTGCGAAAATTTCGCATCTTTATCTACCGTAATAGAATTGTTATTACGGAAGTTGCACATGCGAAAATGCACATTCCGTAACGCGCTATACGAAAATATAAATAAATAAAATTCCGTAATAAAGCATTGCGAAAGAAAACTTGCGAAACAAATCATTTCGTAAGAATACTTACGAAATAGTTCCTTACGGAAAAAGCATTCCGGAATGTGTAGTTACGAAAAAGACGCAAAAGATTTTATGTTACGATATATTTAAGATATTAGCTGTTAACAGTTTAAATAATAAATACTAAAATTATAAAAAAATGTTGTCAAATGATTCTTCAAATGTTTATACAAATATACCTAATAAATATATATATATATATATATATATATATATATATATATATATATATATATATATATATATATATATATATATATATATATATACATTAACGGGATTTTACTGTATATATATGTATATATATATATATATATATATATATATATATATATATATATATATATATATATATATATATATACATTAACGGGATTTTACTGTATATATATGTATATATATATATATATATATATATATATATATATATATATATATATATATATATATATATATATATATATATATATATATATATACTTATATATACAGTAAAATCCCGTTAAGTTGGACTCTCAATGAATAGATAAACAGTATGCCTTTCTTTTTAAAAAGTATAAAGAGGATGTGTGATAAACAATTAAATACTTTATTATAAAGAACGAGAGATCTCTCTAAAGGTAAATGTTATCAGAAAGAGTTAAAAGAGAAGAAATATATGTGAAACAGCGGGATGTGAACCTGGGTCTACGCGGCCAAATGTCTTAACTGAATGAGCTATACGTTCATTCAACTAAGAGAATAGTAATATTTATTTAATATATAATTTGAAACTATATAAAACAGAATTTACAGAAAGAGATACGTATGCAAATAGGATTCTATATATCAGGAAAATGAATAGTAATGTGAACATTTAGATGCTTATAATTAATATCTGGACTCAAAAACTAGTTACTTTTAATGGAACACAATAGGCTGTAGGAGCCTCAGGGAAATTATATTCAGAAATGGTTATATTAGACTCAGAGTTAGCTAGAAATTATTACAAAGTATTTAGGACAGATGTCTAGTACAAAAAGCAAAAGAATTAAAGCAAAATGAATTATATTATTTGAAAAAATTGTTTTACGTACATTTCATCATAATTTAGTAAAGCAAGGGAAACGTGTTGAATTAAGCACAATGAACTCAATCTTAAAAGAATAACTAACAGAAGAGAGG